CCCACTGTATCCATACATACACTTTACAACACAAAACGAGATTCTACATAGGTTTACAACTTTCGTTATAGCAGAAATGAGACATTATTTTTTTAAACTTCTTTTGTTAATAACTTTTTAACGAATAACGAGCGACGGCTAAAACTTGTTGGAGGTCACTCAGGGTCATGACCTTGACAACATATGTCAAGATCAAGGTCATTGGGGGGATCCCCTAATGTAAACTTTTACCCTTTTTATAGATACTGCATATCGAATTTATTCACATTAAAAAAAAATTCATTCCTTCAGCTATGACAAATGGTTGCCGATGAATACGGGCGTGGAAAGTGGCGAAACGGCATGCAAATTGGCTCGCAAATGGGGATACTCATGTAAGGGTATACCGCAGAATCAGGCCAAGATAGTGTTTGCCGAAGGCAATTTCTGGGGAAGAACTATGAGCGCTGTTTCCTCGAGTACCGATCCTAGCAGCTACAACGGCTTCGGACCGTTTATGCCGGGCTTCGAGGTCATACCTTACGACGATCTACCGGCGCTTCAACAAGCTCTTGTCGATCCAAACATCTGCGCCTTCATGGTGGAGCCTATCCAAGGTGAAGCTGGTGTTGTGGTTCCTAAGGTAAACTTTTACGTGCAAAAGTTTAAAAATAAATCACCTTTGAGCCTTACCCTTAAAATTGTCATTGTATCTCGAAAAGAACGGATATCTGAGAGGAATTCGAGAACTTTGTACAAAAAACAATGTCCTATGGATTGCGGATGAAGTGCAAACCGGCTTGGCGAGAACGGGGAAGAGGATCGCAGTAGATCATGAAAACGTGAAGCCGGATATCCTGATGCTCGGTAAAGCATTATCTGGAGGATTTTATCCCGTTTCTGGGATACTAGCGAATGATCCCGTTATGCTCACAATTAAGCCTGGCGAGCACGGATCTACTTATGGTGGTAATCCTTTGGGATGCAAGATTGCTCTCGAAGCGCTTCGCGTCCTAGAGGAAGAGAAACTTGCCGAAAATGCGGAGAAAGTCGGTCACTTACTCAGAGACGAGCTTAACAAGCTGCCGAAGGAGATAGTCACTTTGGTGAGAGGAAAGGGCCTCTTGAATGCCATCGTCATCAATGAAAAGATCGACGCATGGGATATCTGCGTGAAGCTGAAGGAAAACGGGCTCTTGGCAAAACCTACGCACGGACACATCATTCGTTTAGCACCACCGTTAGTTATCACGGAGGAACAAATACGCGAGTGCGCGGATATCATTTCTAAGACTATTCTTAAGTATATATAACGAATCTTTTAATATTTATAATACCGTGTGCTATTATATTATATCTTTCTAATAAAAATACGAATAATAATTAAGTAATAAAAACAATTTGTTGATACACTATACTTACATCATTTTCTTAATTTATCTAATATACTTATTCTGTATAATTTTAAGGTGAATGTCTATTGTGACTTTTATCTCGACAATTCGTGCAACAAAAGTAATTTACATCGTTAATCCATATGCTATATCGAAAAAGTTCATCACTCCCTTGGTGAAAAAGTTTCGTTGAAATTATTCCACGTTTTGGAACATTTCAACGAAATTGTTGAAAATTTACTGAAATTTCACTGAGAGTGAATTTTTCAGCTAACGTACTGAAAAAAATCGCTGAGATTAAACTGAAATTTCTCGAAAATTTTGCTGAAAATGAATTTTTCAGCTAAAAATCGCTGAAATTTTTCTGAAATGCTGAAATTTCGCTGAAAAGTATTAAAAAACGTGGACTAATTTCAGTGGAATTTTTTAGGGTCAACAGATCAATTTTATCAAATGACATACTGCAAGAAGTTGACTCGATCATGAGGGCATTGACGTATATGTATAAAAAAATTATGGATATTTTTTACAAAACAGCAGAACGCTGCAAATAAATACAATTATTGTCGCTTGCAATATTCTATTCTGTAAACAAAATCCGAATAAGCCACTTTATATGTGCTCGTATTATTACCTCATGAAAAATGTTTAACGTAGTAAATGAGTTATTCCCTTTTGGGCTATTAATAGCTTTGTACGATAATATAGTATTCTCTAAGCAAATAATGTATTCCTAATACAACAACACGAGAGATAACATGTGTTGAAAAACATATAAGCATGGCTTGCAACTAGTAAGTAATTCCTAAATAATAATTCGTAAGATAATTACGTTTTATTTCGATTAATTGATTATATCGCAAAATTATTCAGATTAAACGTTTTAATAGATTTCAGCTTGTTGTTTAAAGTAAAATTACTCTATCACTGTCAAATTCTCTATTAATAAAATTTTAAAAAGTATCTAAAAATTACATTAACTAAAAAATTTTAATTCAAATCAAATGTAACAATCATTATTTTTTGCTTCTTTTCGAGGTTCGATTAATATAAAAATTAAATTCAATCTTGCATGTGTATTGTATTGTGTGTTTATCGTGATTCGTTTACTTTGGCATGCTGGCGCCTTTACTTTGTATTTTTTATCAGATATGATTCTGTCTGTAAGGGTATTTATTATAAATCCCTCTGTCGCAATGTTTGTGTACCAAGCACGATTTCAGTAAATAAGTAATCATATCCGCCGTATCTTTTACCATATCTTCTTTCACCTTGATATAAAAGCAAGACTACTGAAATCTTCATCAGAAGATGCCTATTTTCCGACGTCTTGTAGTTTTACTCGTGTTAAAAAAAAAAGGTTCGTAAATGCTTATGCGACAAAACATTTCGGCAATATTGCAATATTTTATATTTCAGAGTGAGGGAAAAATATGGCTATGCAATCTGTGAGACAGAGATTTTTCAGCATCGTAAGGGAATCGGAGAACAAGAGAAGATTTCTGAGTTCCCAGCAAGTGATCGATCGCGACAACAAGTACGGCGGTATACACTTCAAACCATTGCCAGTTGTTCTTTCTCGCGGGGAAGGAGTCTACTTATGGGACATCG